TGTGTGTGTGTGTGTGTGTGTGTGTGTGTGTGTGTGTGTGTGTGTGTATATATGTATATTTATACATGTAGCCTTTATGCAAACCACAGTTTCCGCTTCAGGCTAGTTTTCACTTTCACTCCACACGTTTGGACAAGAACGGACTTTCTGTCATTGCAGTTACTTCGGGTTTCACTAGAAGTTCAGGAACATCTTCTGTCCTGACTTGATTCCAAGTCTTTTACTTTCTATTTGATCTGTTTTCATGTAGGAATTTTAAATATTCAAAACAAAAATGATTGTAATAACAGAGCCTTTTAAGATTTTTAAGGTAATGTCTTAGTTCCGATAGTTAAAATGGCCTTAATAGCGACGTAGGAAAAACAATCATCGATCATCACCTCAATCGACGATATCCGATCCGATCCCCAATCTGTACAAGCCTGATACATATCAAGCATATCAGCGCAGACTACTGCATTGCCCATGTGTGCACGGCAAAATTCCTTTACAATCCATGAATTCTTTGAGCAATGATTTAGCAAAAGTAGTTTGGACTTCCATGCGCCCTCAAATAGATAAGATAAGACACTTGGAATATGCGTTTTTTTTAACCTTTTTTGCCGTCTTTCGTTCAGACTCTTGTCGTATCTGATGTGCTTTCTGTTTTCGGGTGCTCCGCTCTCTTCAACATCATTCAACAGAAACCTTCTTCTGGGACATTAGGGAGCCTAGAACGATGAGTACAATATGCAATTTATATTAGTTCTTTGGGTGAACTATTTCTAAAGTAGACCCCTTCACTTTTGAACACTCCCAGTTTCTCTTTCTGTTTTCCCTGTTTCCATTCAGCATAGTATATAAAGTACTAAAGTGGGAGCACACACTGTTTCTCTGCTCTCATCTCTTCACACCTGACCAGCGTCTCTTCTCCCTCTGAGAGTCACGCATCACTGAATGTCCCTTCCTGCTCTTCACAGGACGGGGAGATCGATGCAGAGGAGCTCCAGAGGTGTCTGACCCAGTCTGGTTTCACCGGCAGCTACTCTCGTAAGTTCCTCCCTCTCCCTGGCTATCGCTGTGGCGGGACCGGTATGTAAAGCTGTGTTTATATGATGGCACAAAGGTTCAAAGTGACGGGGCTTCAAAACATAAAGTTTCTGTTGATATCGTGATGCTGGTTTTTGCAACCACGCAATGCATTCTGGGTAGTATGCCCTTCTGTTTCACCAAAGTTGCAACGTGTAAGCTCTGACTTGATGAGCCCACTTCCTGTCCTGGTGCTCGTGGGTAATGTAGTCTACATTGTTGCTCGATGGGGATTCCCCTGAGAGGAAGTGAAGAGCTTGTTAAAATGTCACCAGTGATTGGTTGACAACTGACCAGTGACATTAGACATTTATCAATATTCTCCGGTTTAGATAGTTTATAAAATAGCTATGAACATGTCACAGATTTCATAGTAGATTTTACATAAACAGAAAAGTCTCTCTCTGGAGCGAGTGTTTGGTTTGTCCGTTCTGGGCTTCTGTAGAAACATGGCGGTGCAAGTGTAGATGAAGGGCACATCCCAAGTCTCTTAATATGCAATCCTATAAGTTTCCCTCACTCGTGCGTCTTTTCCTTGCGTCTTAGTCCTTCCCACTAGCGATGCATGGAGAGACACAAGGGGCGCATCCCAAGTCTCTTATTTGTCATCTCCTAGCTTGAACCGGAAGTTGTTCTGCTCCGACATATTGACGGCCGTCCCAAAGCTCTTATTTCTGCTCTGAGGAGCGAGGAGGGATCTCTGAGGAGAGATGAGCGAGGACGCACGAGAACAGACTTCCAGGAAGTGTTTTAACGGCCGACACGCCCCCTCATGTGATCGGACTGATCAGATTATTTTCAACATGTGAAGACAGATCGCAGATTAAACTCAAGCTTTATATTTGATTAGTTTTCTGATTCACCGTCTGGTTTGAATAAATGTTCATTGTAGTCTCAACAACAAAAGGACCACAAACTACTTTCTTCAGTTATTGGAAAGATTTGTGTTTTTATGATCTGATGTGTCCTCGTTTCCTCTCTCCTCGCATGGTTTCTCAAGTGAGGGAAACGGGGATGCAATACTTGGGATGTATCCAAGGAAACCATACGAGGAAAATGTTTTAAGATACATGAGACGTCCCTTCCTCTGAAGCGTCTCGTGAAGCGACGTCTGTTTCTGACGACGGCCGATCAGTCGGCTTTAACAGCCGGAGAGACTTTTGACAGAGTTTGTGAGCACATTACTACGAGAGCAGTCGAGAGAAAGTTTAAATGACTAATGTTAAGAAGTGACCGAGTATTTTCATGCCCTCTTCAGAGTAAACATGGATGGTCTGTTGTTTCTTTATCTTCGCAGCGTTCAGCCTGGAGACGTGCAGGATCATGATCGCAATGCTCGACGTATCCTTTCTGTTCCACCATCAGCCAGAGCTGGAAGTGACACTCTGATTGGCTGATTGTTAAAGTTCAGGTTTAATCACCCCCTCCTGTTGTGCTCCTATTTAAAATGTGCGCCCAGTAGGTGTGGCGTTCCACTTTGAGCCGGGGCTAACCAGCTGTCCTCATTCCACCGTGCTACTAGTTCTTAACCAGAGCGTCTCCAGAGAGACTTCACAGGGAAGATGGGCTTCAACGAGTTCAAGGACCTCTTCACGGCTCTGAGCGGCTGGAAGCAGAACTTCATGATGTTCGACCAGGACCGGAGCGGAACGGTGGAGCCCCACGAGATGACTCAGGCAGTCAACGCTATGGGTGAGAGTGCTAACGGTTTAACACCACACACCTAACGGTAATCACCATGTTTAATGACACTTAATTAGACGGTCTGTGGATTCACTGAGCCCCCCCTGCTGTGGCCCTCCTCCCTCTGTGATCTAGTTACTACAGTCTGTTTTACTACGTATGCCCCATATTCTTATATCTATCCTCCAAAATGATAGTATGAATATAGAAATATGAGCGACTTAATTTGTTTTTTCTTCAGCTTTTAGCTCGTAGAAAGTCCTCTTCACTAATAGATGTTCTCTAGTTTAGTACATGGAGAACAAAACAACCACACTGACAAGGACAAGAGACAAAGATCTCATAACAATCTCCCCGTGATTTTACAGTGTTTAATAATCGTACATATATTGTGCAATATTTGACATCAAATGTACGTTTCAAATCTACATCAGGCTACCGCGTCAGTCCTCAGGCCCTGAATGTTATCATCAAGCGCTACAACAAAGGAGGGAGGATCTTCTTTGACGACTACGTGGCCTGCTGCGTCAAACTGCGAGCTCTCACGGGTAGGAATCCCACAACCGGGATCCACGCTCTCGGCGTCCGGGTTCATTCCGCTCGCCGCTCAAATCCGTGTCACCGGGTGTTGTGAAGTGAGCTCTACTGACGGGCTTCTCTTTCTGTTGCAGAGAACTTCAGACGGAGAGACGCCATGCACCAGGGATCTGTCACCTTCCAGTATGACGAAGTGAGTTTCACTTTCCTTGTCCACTTACTTGACATGAGATTAGTGGGGTCGCTCGAGAAGTCTTAGCTTGACGAAGTCGCCCTGTTGCCTTTGTTCGCCCTCGCCTTCGTCAAGCTAAGGCCATGTCGACACTACTCCGTTTTCCTTTGATTCCTGTGGTTGACTCTCTCTCTCCTTGTCTCTACAGTTCATCCTGTGCACAATGGCCATCTAAGGTCTGCCGCGTGTCCCATGCCACGCGGTCGGCGCACCCAACGAGCCGATCGCTGGTGCATTCTGGGTCGTCACCTCATAGGAATGCAAAGGGAGGCCAGTATATTTGACTGAGCGGCCGAGAGCCGCACCAGCAGAGTACCCATTGCTTGTAATGCTTGCTGTAACGCTTTAGTCTTGTTTGTTGCACAGGGACGTGCTGAAGATGTATCAGGTGTACACACACGTATATAAATATATATACTCCGTATGAATCCACATCAGAGGGGATCTAATACGTAGCGTCTATAAAGCCCTTATGTGTAGGTTTTCAAAAGGAATGGATAGACCAGTTTTATATCTTCTAGTTTGAATGTTATGCGTTGGGTCTCATGTTGGAGTGAAGCGATACTGTGAGCATGTTCTCACCTGTGAGACACCTACTGTGCCATTTTAATATCTGAATGTATGGTCTAATATATTAAACCCAGTTATATAGAACTTCTTAGTAACAGCAGCGTAACGATAGACTCAATGTTAGCGTTTACTGATAACATGTTGATTTGCTTTTACACTGAACTTGTTTTTTTTTGTGCACTTGTTTGATAAAACGTATAGATGTTTAAGTTGATAACAAGCCAAAGTGACTGTGAGCCACTCTGATACCTTACTAATGATGGTGAGATAGAGACTATATGTATGTGCATATGCCTGACATGTTTCAGTACAAACACAGCCATGTTTTCATTTGCAAAGACTGCAGTGAGGTCAACCTGTGCACACACACACTCAACATTAAAGTAAAGATCATATTTTGTTACTCACAATAAATACTTTCTAATCAGTATGCATTCTGTTTATTAATACAATTGCGCTCCCCCCC